ATTATCAAACCTCCTAAATATTGGTCAAACCATTTTGGAAGAGTGTTGCTACTAACATCATGACAAGAATAATATATATATATATATATATATATATAATTATAATTATAATAATGATAATATATGATCAACTTACAAAATTTGCAAGACATTTGTCGTAGGAAACATCGGTGACGGCAACTCCATTATGGCATTGTTATCCAAATAGCTGAAATTGAATAAAAATATTCTATATGAAATAAAATTCTTGCATATGCTTGTTATAAATGAATTATTAAAAAAAATAATTAATACATTACAAATGTTATACTCACAGATAACTTATCTTGAGTTTCCCGAAGTTTTCTAATGCGTTCGCATGTATATGCTTAATGGAGCAATGTCTAAGAACTCTGGAAAAAAATTAAATTACATTATTTAATTGTAATTTAAGTAATAATTTTCATATGAAGGGTTATTTTGATACTAACGCAATTTTTATTACTTTAATTTTTTTTTAAACTTTATGTCTAATTTGTATAAAATATTAAAATCTAGAAATTATGAGAACACAACAATAGACTACTAAAGCAAGTATAAAATAGTTATAAAAATCTAAATGCATAAAATTATATAATACTAATATATAATAATATTAGTATTAATAATATGATTTATATATTTAGAAAATACTTGCAATCAATGATTTATATTTTGTGATTTGTTTTTTGTTTGTTGTTATTTAAGTTGTAGTATGTATATATCAGTACTTCAAAACTGATAATTTTCTTGACCCATGCAAATACTACTTATTTCCTTATTTATGTTTAATAATATTTAAAAAAAAATAATATTGGTTGGTCCAACAAATGCCACGAGCCCACATAAACAAATTATGTGAAATTTATGTAAATATAGAGTGTAATTGACAGATGATTTAGCTTCTATTGTAATAAATCATTGAAAACTGAATTTTACTTTTTTTCATGAATTTTTCACATATTTCATTATTTTATAAAACAAATATCGCCCGGTCCATCTAAAAACAAACTCCAGTCTCAAGTCAATATGAGAGCAATATTGGTAAATATTGGTAAATAAATGCCCAAGATTCAAATATTGCGCTAAGATTCGCCCTTCACCTGGCCAATATTGATTTATACTAAGGTAAAGATAAGTCAAATAAAGATTCGAAACGTTAGCGATGAAGTTTTTAAACCTAAATTTTCTTCTAATAATTGTCTGACAGAATATATTTTTTATTATTATTAACTTCCCGTAGAGTGAGTTATAGTAATCGCAAAAAAATCGAAAATGTAAATTTTTATATATCTTTACGTTTCAAAGGTTTCTGAATATTTTGGCATAAAAAATGGATGTATGCGTGTGTGTGCGTGTGTGTATGTGTGTGCGGATACAAATTTTCGTCGACGATTTCGGGAACACCGATCAACCGAATTGAATAATTAAAAAAACATTTGATTTGTATTGATAAGGAGACGTGCTGATTAGTTTTTGGCGAAGGCAGGTATAACCGTTCCGGAGATACGGGGCAAAAAGTGCCAAAAATGAGAACTCAGTTTTTAAGAGAACCGAGCGTCCGATTTTAATAATTCAAAAAACATTTTACTTGTATTATCAAGACAAAGAATTGATCAAATTTTCATAAAGGCAGGTCTAGCGGTTTCGTTTACTAGTAAAAAAAGTAAAACAAAATGCCATTTGGCGGTCAAAAATGATCATTAGACATACGCACATCAAATTATCAGATATTTTATAAAGATTTTACCAATAAGTATAAATTTTGTTTACATTCCTATGGGTTCCGTACCAATGTTTATCCGTTAGACGGCAACGCGGCGCTTACGCGCTTCGATATTTTGTCTCTATGCAGTTGAAGCAGTACGATTGCTTTGAAAAAACGTTCAAAATTTCTAAAATATTTCAAAATAAATTTAGTTTTAAAAAGTCTTTTTTTTTTCAAAAAAAAGTAAATTTTTGTCAAAAATTTTTAGTTTTTTAAAAATCAAATTAATTCAGAGTAATTTTTTTTCAAAAATGTTAATCTTTTTAAAAAAAAAAATTGGTACGGAAAGTTCCAGCAATTTACCTTAAGGCACGATGCCATGCACCCCAATAGTTTTTTCTAATAATTGTCTGACAGAATATATATTTTTTATTGTTATTTCATATTTTTCACCATGTGATTTTTGCTCATTATTAGAAAAAGAAGATATCCTATTCCCAAAAAGTAGAATTTATTGATAAATGAGAAAATAATCATTTTTTTTAAGGTAAAAAAAACTTTTAGTTTGAGGTTTTAGTTAGAAGTAGTTAATAAATAATATTAGGGGGCGTCCATCAATCACGTGGGCGAGTTTTTAAGGATCTTAAGGACTATAAGAAATAATCTTGGCGCTGAGAGTTTTGCTAAAATGCAAGTCTTCTATATTTATTTAGCCATTCGCTTAATACAAATGAGGTTTTCAGAAAATGTGCAGAAAAGTCGACTTGGAACAACTTCATGAACTCTTAGAATGTAATTTAAATGAAAGAACACCCTGAAAAAAGTTGAAAAAAGATATTAATGGGTTTCTGTAAAGTAATGGATCATCATTACTTTGTAAAAGAAATGTAACGAATATTTGTGTTATGATTATTTGTTATAATATTGTATCCAAAATAATTGGATTATATTAATTAATATATAGATAAGTCAGTGGTATTCGTTCGTGGAATTAATTTCGTCTCGGGGAAAATTACGACCGGAAAATTCTTCGTGTCGGGAAAGAATAGTCTCTTAATTGAGAACTTTCACAAGTGTTGTCTGATGACATTGGATTATTTGTCAAATTATCACTTTTCTTCGTTTGCTCGCGTATTTATAGACGATAGACATATACATGCATATACGTATATATTTTATTTTTCTGAACTAAAAGCTTTTTTAACATTCCGTGAATGCAAATTATAGCATTTTGAAGGTTATGAACATTTTGGCATACCTTAGAAAAAATGGGTTTGCGTGTATATATGTATGGACACAATTTTTTGTTCACGTTTTCGGGTGCACGGATCAATCAATTTGAATGATACAAAAAAAATTCGATTCCTACTGCTGACAGGTCCAATCGTTTGGGAGTACGGAACAAAGAGCACAGAAAATAGAAATCGAGTTTTTGAGAGAACATACCATCCGATTTGAATGATTCAAAGAACATTCAATTTGTAATAATGGAGAAATGTGGTGATTAGTTTTGGGCAAAGACAGGTCGAGTCGTTTCGGGGCAAAAAATGTATTTTACAGTTGCAAAAAAACTTACAAATCGTTTTGATTAATGGGAATAATAATAGGAATAATTAGTATAATTAGTTTTTTGGAACCCTATTGGTTTTTAAGGTCTATAAGTATGATACTCATAAAGTGTTCTTCGAGACCTTTCATTTGATGCCCTACATGTATTTTTACTATATTTGAACATTAAGACCCCCTGTACTGTATATACTACGAATCAATTCGAATCAATTCGAATCGACTTCAATTCGGACTTGTTTGTGCATATATTTATTAAATCTGATGTAACTTTTTAACCGTTTGTCCAAAACCAATGAAATATTCGAAATAAAGAATAATAAATTTACAATATTTTTTCATAATAATAATACACCAAATTTATAAAGCAACTGAATATAAATCGTTACCGTTACTAGATATAAATTTTTGTTGCATTTTTTTAATTTATGATCAAAATAAGCAAATACAATGTTATTCTCAAAATTTTGATTCACTTGTCGCCATGTTATAAAATTCTTCAAAACAAATGGAATTTTACTTATGTTATTTTCATAAGAAACTTTAGGACTATCTTAAAGTTAATATTAAAATCTAAAACTTTTTAGAAAATTTTTTTTGCATTTTGGAAGCATTTTTGAGCAACAAAATTTGAGAACATCCATTTTAAAACCATCCTAATACATTATCACATTTTTCTGTATATATGTATGAATGGAAATTTTTCTACACGGTTATTCAAATTTTGATAAATCTTTTTGATGTTTGTTAAGGAAAAATTTAAGGATTTGAAAGATTATAAAAATACAGTAATATTGTAAAAATAAATAAAAAAAATTGCAAAAACAACATATTGTTTGACAGAACTGATTCCTGCCAGAAATGTCTTTTCACTTAAAATTTGAATTTAGGTTAAACAAAGAGCCAAGACATTATTAGAATCTAATATATTTATGATTATGAATAAGAAAAATATAATGTCTACATTATTATTGCCAAAAGCAGCTCAGATATGCAAGAAATTAAAATAATAGAAAATACAGTACATGTTTGTTGGATGAAATTATATAATTTAGTTTAACAGATTATTTTCAACTCATGCATGTCATATTATGCCTTACTCTACAAAATTATTTCTTCTGAAAAAAAACATAAAACTTATTTAAAAAAATTGTTTAGAAGTTTCATTGTGTCAAAAATTCATTTGTTTGGCATTGGATATGGAATATTTATTTTGTTGATCGTAGATTGAGTAGTGCACATGTGAACAGTATTTGACAAATGAATTCACTTAAAATATGAACATAAGCAATAATGTATATTGAATTATTAGTAAAAAATATAATTTAGATATTATAATTAATAAAAACCTCTAGAGATTCTAAAAATTATAGGCAACATTATTGAAGCAATTATTCTGAGTGAAAAAGTCGAAGGTGATATTTTACTTTTACTGCGGATACTATGATAGAATGATTATTTCTGAATTTGTTATACTGTTTAAAAAATTGCAATTTACAAAATATATATCTTATGTTATAAGATATAAATATAAGACTATAAATGAATCACAAACACAGGACATTAAATAGACAATTATAAAGTATAGGTAGGGGTATTAAAAATTGTTGGAGTTTTTTTAATTGTAGATGTGGGTAGAGGAAAACGTCTGTCGGGTCATCTAGTATATATATATATATATATATATATAATATTAAATATAACTTACAATGATTCTGTCTCCGGAAGACCGTTAAAAAAGTCGTCGTGCAAAGTTCTGAACTCGTTCCCTGTTAAGTCTCTGAAATAGAATAAAACGATCGTTTTATTTCAAACAATATTCATAAAAACATACAGAAATCGTACAATACAAAATAATATTTTTATATATATATATAAATATTTAAATTACAAAATATTACTGCAAGCCAAAAGAATAAAAATGTAGCCTTTGTTGAGAAACCATTTTAAATTTAAGTATGTACTTTACGAACAGTACAAACAAATTTATATACTGATTCTCAGATAAGATAAAACTAAAATGAAATTTTTTATATGCGATTAATTTTAAATTTGAAATCTACATTAACTTTTTGTTTTAGTTGCTTGTCCGAAGTTAATCAAAGGATAAAATATGTGAGAAGGTTATCCAAAAATAAGTACATGTATACTAATTGTAATATACTAGTATACTAAGGTACAAAGATCCAATTACACTTTCAGTAATTATACTGTTTAAAATCAACGAACTACCTGACACCACATAATATGGATCAAACAAACAACTATCCAACTATTTTCAGTAAAATTTTCAGCTTTTTTCTATTTTTTGAAAATTTGTCATCTGTCCCGTTTTGTCCCACGGGCGAGTTGAGAAGGGTAAACCAGCCAGTGGGTAAACATATCCAACCATTTTTTTCACAAAATAACAGCTACATTGTTTAATAATTGTGAAATACAAAATGTATGGAAACTTTGTTTTACAAAAAAATTATTGTATATAACCTTGATCTGGTATTTCCAAAAAAAAATTGTGATGGCTGGTTACCCATATTTTGCCTCATACTTTAAAATAGTTTCAATAAAATATTCTATAATTTTCTTATTTATTTATTTATTTATTTTACGAGCCGTATAATAATATTATAATAAGGCTTAAGTCAATATTTTCTAAGTTTATTATTTATTTATTATTTAATTTTTTTACTATAAACTTATTTATATTTAGTTAATTTTAATTATTTTTAAAAAATTTAATAAGTATTTTAATAATCTTTACAATACTTTTACAATATAATTATTTAATTCAACAAATTTTAGGTTATTTTATCATATTTTAACAAATTTAAGTGTCTTATGTTATTGTTATTATTATTAATGTTATTATTATTAACATTATCATTATCATTTTTATTATTATTATCAAGTATTTTCACAATATAAGTTTTTTCTTTTACAAATTTTTAGGTATTTTGATGAAAGAAATATTTTGTTTCACAATTTTTTAAGTGATTTTTAAATTATAAGTTTTTATTTAGCTAATTATTAAGTTTTTTAACAATAACAGTCATATAAAAATAGTAAGTAAAAAAAAGTCAAATTTGTTTCACAATTTTTTAAGTGTTTTTAAATTATAAGTTTTTAGTTAACTAATTATTAAGTATTCTAACAATAACAGTCATATAAAAATAGTAATAAAAAAAGTCAAAATTTTGTTTCACAATTTTTCAAAAGTTTTTAAATTATAAGTTTTTAGTTAACTAATTATCAAGTATTTTAACAATAACAGTCATATAAAAACAAATTAGTTTTTGAGATAATAATAGTGGACCTTCAAACCCCGCTCTACCCTACATATATTTTATCAAAAATGCCTTATTTTTTACTTCAACTATACGTGAATGAAATTAGTATAAATGTATAAAAATTACAAATTTTTATTAATTAGTATACTTACAATAAGCTGATGTTATTCTTGGGTAATCCTTTTGGTAATGAAGTTAACTTTCTCAAGGAGCAATCCAGGGAACCACTTTTACATTTGCATACGGATTCGTTCATTTTTAACATATCTGAAATAGAACAAAAATATGAAGTTTAGACGTATGAGAAAAAATAGTTATATTTTGATTCCAAATGTCTGTAAAATTGATACTGAAGCACTGTCAATCAATCGAACCGAATTTCTAAAAAAATAGTAGATTTGGATTAGACTTTCCAAACTCATATGTAAGTGTCTGAATTATGAAGTGATCTTACCAAAATCATCATTAAGTATTAATATGGTCCGCAAGCACAGTTTTAAATTGTCTGGGCTATTTTTAATTATTTTTGTGTTGTTGTAAACGTTTAATAAAGTTCTGGCTTGTTTCTACTATGTAAATTAAATTGCATTCGAGACAATTTATTTGATAGACGAGATTTCTAAGTTGTGGGATGTTAAATGGGGTTTTGGTTTTGGTGAAAATAGTGCTAGTCGTTGTACTAAAATTGTTTACAAGTCGGATTCCAGATTTATAAAAACGTTTTTTCCAAAGACAGATGTTTAATGTGTGGCAGACATATTACACCAGAGTGAGTCAGGTAAATCCTTATGTACTATGGAATTGTCAATTTCATTTGAAAGGTACGCGCGTCTATTACTAGTTATGGAGTTTATAAGTTTTGATGATGTTGATATATATAATAATTTTGGCCTTTTTTTCTTACCACATGAAAAGTTCTGTACATCCATTTCGTCGACTTCAGCAGCTGGTCTTTTGCGGTACAGGTGATCCCAATAGGTGTTGCCAAAATCGTCATCTGCAACAAATATATATTTTTTGTTATTACAAATTGTCCTATCATGTTGTCTTATGTGAGAAAAGGTTAAAAATGATGTTTTAGGCATCGGGCCTTAGAACAATTACTAGGATAAATAACAACTTTGTCCTGATCACTATAGTGACCCTAAGTTCCAAACTTTTTTAGGAACAATATTTGTTTCAGATTCACATTTTTTGTTCAAGATTGTCTACAATTTTTGAAAAGTAAAGATTGAAGTTAAATATCAGCTATGAAAAACTACAAATATAGTCATAAAATATGTGACAGTGACATGCCCGACGTAGTATTATATGAAACAATTATGGTAAAGACAATAATCTCTGAATCCAAAAATCAAATGGTGACCTAGCACTTCATTTTTTTTAAACTTTAATTTTCAAATTAGCAAAATGTTAGAAAATGTCCCAAGTGCTTCATACATGTGACAAGACGTGAATTAAGATAGACATATTAAAAATAATATTATGATGAATGTAATTCAGAAGGCTTAAAAACCACATAACACATAGATATTTGTTATCTTTAGTAATTTTTATTTTGAATCATATTAAAAATATTTATACTATCCGTATTTTTATAAGTTATGATCTAAGAATAATAACCCCTTATATTTTAGGTTTAGAATGTTTAAGAAATCTGGTTTTTTATGCACTTTCATTTTTCGATTTTTTTCTGTTTTCTTAAAACATTAACTAATAACTTGCAAAAATAAGGATTTTTGCAATTTTCATGACTTTTCAAAAATCCTATGAATTCATGCCTCTTGACCGAATAGCTTCTTAAAAAACGATACTAATGAAGTTGTCCTCATTGAGAAATTCTAAAAAAAAGGTAGTAAATTCAGCCCGCAAGAGGACAACTTATGTCAAATTCCGTAGTGTATATAAATTTATTTAAAAAAATTATTCATAAACTCGTAGCAGAAATGTTCGTGAAGAGCTTTGTCTAACGTTTTTACCAAGAAAAGTTCTACTATTCAGGCACCAAGAAGTTGTCCTACATCTCTGAATTCCAAATTCCAAACTTCATTAGCACACCTTGCTGTTTAACTAACCTAAATATATTTTTTACCTTTGAAAAAGGTCAAACAATATATTTAACTAATACATTCCGACCTAAATACTCCTACTGCTTCAATATTTTTATTTTAATCCAATTCATCATTTTATCCAAGACTCAGTGAACAGTACTAACGAGTTGTCCGAACGGATTAAAAAGTTTTAATTATGTTTTTCTTTTTCAAAAATACGCTACAGTTTATTTGTAACGCGTCGAATCACTAATTGATTGATTAAATCAATTAATGTCGATATTTATTGACGCGCGTCAATTTTAATTTAACGCGGATGGTGAGAGATTATATACTGGAAAGTAAAATCCGCACATCGGCGCGGTAATAAAATCGGCATGAAGTTGGAAACATTTTGTCCCGACTAGTTAATTTATCAATATTATATAAATTGCATATAAGCACTTATTAATTGCATATTAATAAGTCTTTGAATGCAACATCGACAAATTAATAAATTTTGTTGGTGAATCAAGATGGCCGTTTGTACGAACTTCACATCGCACACACTATTTCTTTTGATACGTTGTGATGCATTGTGAGAGTAAAAATTAAATATTTATTTAATTTCGTGGAAATAATATAATATAAATTTAAAAAAATTGGATTAATTACACATTAAAGCTATAGATCCAAAACAAGTCACATCATATGGAATAAAAACCAAAGTCACTGATGAGTATTTGATGAACTTTACCGAAGTAATAATTGAAAACTTACTGATACAATGGAATGCACCAAGTGCAATACCAAAATCAATTTGGCTGGCAAATCAACTAAAGTTACGTGGACCAGTCTTAGAACAAAAGTTTAAAACTTATTTAGATGGCATCTATTTCACGATAGGATATGTCTGACTGATTGGAAAAAACAACAACGATATTTGTCTGCTCCTGCAAATATTAGTTAATTTAAGAGTAAGTCTGTGGAATTTGTCAATTTTAGACAACATTTAATATCGGGCTGAAGTTGCAAAATTTCAAGAAGAGTCACCTGTGAAGCCAACTTTACTCGATCCGTGACCAGAACAAAATTAGGACGAGATGAAGTATCACGAGCTTCACAAGAATTTTTCATGGACAAAATGAAGACACTTTGTACTTATTAAAATACTTAATTGCTAAATAGTGATTATACACAGCGCTATCTATCTAACTGCCTTACTAAATTTATCATAAAATATCATAAACTCAATTATTTTGAAGGATTTTCTTTCGTGATCAGTTGACACAAATTTTGTGTAAAATTTGTTGGCTTATAGTAGAATGAATTGATAACTTACCACAATTAAGTTCGTCAGATCCGTCCAGGCAATCTGCATGTCCGTCGCAATTTTGACGCTGAAGAATACAATATTGGTTGTCCTCACATCGGAACATTCCAACTGGACATTTTAACGCCACCTGTGTTTTGTTCACACCCGAATCCTCACCTGAAATGATAGATAAAAAAAATTGTAGATCTTGTGTACATAGTTTGAAATTCTAGAACACAAATTATACTGAGTGACACTGGTGCATCAAGAAAATTTGTTTGGAGCTCTCTGGTTTCATAAACCTAATTTGAAATGCATATAAAGTAAATATTAATATTTTTGTCCCACATGTGGTTATGTAAAAATACACCTGAAATATTTTGAATAGTTATGAAAAGATTGAATAATTTGAACTTGTATCGATGTATTGTTCACCAGTACTTTCTTTATATAAATAAGCAGTTAAAGCAGTTAAAGTGATATGTATTTGCTGTGCGTTCAGGCGTTTCATACATAAAACCTTACTTCACGTGTGTGTTATCAATAGCACATCAGAAAGATGCAGTTAGGATACCATAGTTTTCTTGACGTCTGTGTGTTCTTAGGTGAGGTTTTTTATTTAAAACGCCTGACTGTACAGAAAATACATAGCATTTTGAACGTTTGTACTACCAATTTAAATAAAGATTGGAATGTAACATACCGTTGCCATAACAATGTTATGTTACATTTTTATTTTATTGGAGAACTGACCTCTTGATGTCAATATTGAATCTTTATATATTTTTCAATGCCCTTACAAAGCATTTGATCTATAATTTCATATCATTCTGCATAATGCATACTTTTAAAAAAATATATGCAAAATAAACTGTTATTATCTGAAATGTAGAATTTATTGATAGTTCAGTGTTCAAATTATCAACATATTACCTTGACGTTGAAAAAATATATATTTTTAACATATTTTCCAAAATATACTAAAATCAGGATTTTTTCAAGTGTCAAAGCATTTTCTAAAATCTATTTGAGCTAAATCAAAATTTTCTACAATATCAATAAATCTAAAACATTTTTCTGACATCAAGTTTCTATCTAGAATATGAAATAACCAAAAAAAATCCAAGTTTTTCCAAGATATCCAAATTTAAATCCTAATTTCTATAATATCAAATCATAATATTCTATAACTTTTTGGTTATAATAAATAATAACATTTTTGGCTAAAGTATAAAAAAAAACTTATACAATCTTTTATTTTCTATATTATCAAAAATTTTTAAACTATCCAAATTTTTAACAAAATATCAAAATTGTCGTAAATACCAATTTTCTATACTGGGGAATTATGTAAATTTTAAGTCTTCAAAATTTTTACAAAAACATAGGTAAAACGCTTTTTGCAATAAGAGTAACCAACTACTTAGTCTTTGGGTGCAATATCATAATTGACCTCATTGATCAACTTTATTAATATATTTGTTGGTGCTTACGGTGTCACGGCACAATTCTATACACCACTAGTTCAATATTGATTTTACAACAAATATTTCCTTTATCGACGCCTAATTCCTTACCCCTACAAGTTGGAGTCTTAAAGTAAATAGTTAACTAGGCAGTCGAGACAATTTGGCCCTTCAGCCAAATTTATTTTCGTCGATCGCTTTGGTAACCAAAGTGCGGTTGCTTTCTGTCGAATTTATGATAGCAATTGACATTGTCGATTGTGTTTGGTACGAAAACCTGTAAATCGAGACGATATACTGTTCTGTAATTCACCAAGGACAAGGTACTAAATGTTCTGGAAGGGCTAGGTAAATCGATGGAAATTTATATGCAGAACGCAAACCCTTCTGGATTTAGGAAACATGATTAGATAGAAGTTTTTTAATTAACTTCCCGAAGGAGAAGTTTATGTTTTCATCAAAAAATCCGATTCGCTAATTTTATGTTTTCTCGACGTTTCAAGCCATTCTGAATCGAATGAGACCAAATTTGGAAAAAGTATGTGTGTGTGTGTGTGTGTGTGTGTACGTGAACAGATTTTTTGCCGTAAATCGACGTTTTCTCGAAAACGGCTGGGTCGATTTCAAAAATTTAAAAACCATTCGATGTATCTCGACGAGAACTATTGTTTGTGCAACGATCGGCCAAGCCGTTTCTTTATAGATGGCAGAAAAGTGAAAAATTTTTCGTCTACGTTTTAGCCCGCAATTCTGAATCGATTTTGAAAATTCAAAAACCGTTCGAAAGATATTGATTGGGAATCGTGCTGATTAGTTTTTGGTAGAGATCGGCCGGGCCGTTTTCTTGTAATAAAGTTTAAAAAAAAAAATTTCGACGATTTTTATGATTATTTTTTTGACGATAGATACCATAGTCTTCTAGATCATACTAAAATATTACGGCCCTACGACAACTGGTTCAGCTTTAAAAATTCGTCAAAGTTTGCAAAAATCAGTATGGTCTTTTTGGCATTTGTCAAAATTAGACTTTTGATCGACGTTTTTTCAAAAACGCCTGAACCGATTTTAGAAATTTAAAAGCCATTTGATGTATTTCTTTGAGGACTATCGTTTGTCAGTTTTGTGCAACGATCTGACAAGCCGTTTCTTTGTAATTCGAAAAAAAGTGTTAAACTTTTCGTCCACATTTAAGCTCATCGTCATCGCTCATCAAAATCTACCGAGCCGTTTTCTTGTAATTAACTATTGAAAAAAAGTGTTAAATTTTCGTCGACATTTAAGCTCATCCTACCGAACCGATTTTAAAAAATCAATAACTGTTCGAAAGATATTAGTTGGGAATAATACTGATTAATTTTAGGTGAAAATCTACCGAGCCGTTTTCTTGTAATTAACTGTTGAAAAAAAGTGTTAAATTTTCGTCGACAATTAAGCTCATCCTACCGAACCGATTTTAAAATATCAAAAACTGTTCGAAAGATATTAGTTGAAAATGGTACTGATTAATTTTAGGTGAAAATCTACCGAGCCGTTTTCTTGTAATTAACTGTTGAAAAAAAGTGTTAAATTTTCGTCGACATTTAAGTTCATCCTACCGAACCGATTTTAAAAAATCAATAACTGTTCGAAAGATATTAGTTGGGAATAATACTGATTAATTTTAGGTGAAAATCTACCGAGCCGTTTTCTTGTAATTAACTGTTGAAAAAAAGTGTTAAATTTTCGTCGACAATTAAGCTCATCCTACCGAACCGATTTTAAAATATCAAAAACTGTTCGAAAGATATTAGTTGGAAATGGTACTGATTAATTTTAGGTGAAAATCTACCGAGCCGTTTTCTTGTAATTAACTGTTGAAAAAAAGTGTTAAATTTTCGTCGACATTTAAGTTCATCCTACCGAACCGATTTTAAAAAATCAATAACTGTTCGAAAGATATTAGTTGGGAATAATACTGATTAATTTTAGGTGAAAATCTACCGAGCCGTTTTCTTGTAATTAACTGTTGAAAAAAAAATTTAAGCCGATTTTCATGGAACTTTTTTTGGCGATATACATCATGGTCTTATAGAACTTACTGTAATATTACGGCCTTACGACAAGTAGTTTAATTTTACAAATTTGTCAAAGTTTGCTAAAATTATTATTGTTTTTTTTTTTAAAGTAGGATTGATCAAGTATATTATTTACACATTTTTTTTTAATTAAGTCGATTATTTACACATATCGGGAAGTTCATGTAACTTGCCTCAAGGCAAAATACCAATACCAACTAGTTTTATATATAACTAACAAACCCGACGAACACCATTTCGCCACCAGATGTTTTCGTGAGAAAGATGAAAGTTTTGTTTGTTTGTTTTATATTTGAAAAGGAAAAAATTGATTTTATTGCACAACAGTAATGAATTTATTTCGATTACAAAAATGAAGTATTTTTTAGTTGAAGTTCTCTAAGTAAATGAAAGTGAATCCGCAAATTATCCGTTTCATTGAAGTGCTCTTTGGTAAACCACATTTTTTGTTTTCTGGTCCGACGTTAACACAAACAAAGCGGATGGTTTTCCAACTCGTGAACAGGCAACGTATAACTGCCCATGTGAAAAACAATGATTTTCTAAATAATCTATTTGAAATTTATCCCGCAAACACTAAGCGATTGGCCTTGCGACTTGTTAGTTGTCATTGCGAACGCAAGGCGAACTGGAACTTGCAATCGTTTGAAGTCAAACAGAAGACCAGTCGGAATCATTGGTATGTCACCAAATCGCCAGCAATTTTTGATTGAATGGTGAAATTCAGTGCGTGTACATCATATTTCTAGGCGGCAAGAATTGCTCGTAGACTTAACCAAGCATAATTCTGAAAATTTTCACTAATGTCATTATTCGAATTTTTAATTTCTGTGCGTGAAGTTCCAGCAATTTGCATTAGGGCACGATGCCATGCACCACTAATTTTCTTATCTATAAACCTTGCGGAGCCCGAAACCTTTCCAAAGAATGCAAAATTGTCGAAATCGGTTCGTGCGTTCTGGAGTTAAATCATCAGGAAGGAAAACCCGATTTATTTTTATATATATGTAGACTTATTTTTATATATGTGTAGATAATCTATTTGAAATTATTTAAAACAATTATTGATTATTTTCATTACTCGAATTTTTAATTACGGTGCGTGAAGTTCCAGCAATTTGCATTAGGGCACGATGCCATGCACGACTAATTTTCTTATCTATAAACCTTGCGGAGCCCAATACCTTTCCAAAGAATGCAAAATTGTCGAAATCGGTTTGTGCGTTCTGGTGTTAAATCGTCAGGAAGGAAAACCCGACTTATTTTTATATATATATGTAGATTACCTATCTATTTTGTGAAGATATTTAGTAATTGTTATGGTAATTTTTGCAGAAGGCTATTAGAAAGCAACCTACATGTAGACATATTTGATATTAAGAAAAAAATATTAAAAGTCGACTCGCTTTTTAATATTGGTATATTTTTTGCATTAGAAGGCAAATTGAATTAGAATGCAAAACCTCCTGTATTTAGGAAACAATATTATCCAGCATTATTCTTTTATATATAAAATTCTTCTATAATTATGTATGAAAATATAAACGATTATTCGGATTTAGATGAATCTTTCTAGAGTTTAAGGGATTTTTTTAGGATGTATGTGATTATACGAAATATTGTAATATTGTAGAAA